TTTATTTTAAAAATCATTCAATGCAACAGAAACCATTCCAAGCAAAAAAGGGCATGACTAAAACTTACCTTCTCATTGAGTGAGTCCAAACCGTTGTGGTGCGAATCATCATCAAGCAGATTGGGATTAGATAGTGCGGAGCGCAATGCTGCCATAGCGGGTAGTTTGTCAATGACTGGCGAACTCTCGTTCAGAGTCGTGGAGTCCGGGCCGTCCACATCGTCCAGCAGCGACAGTAGATTGGGCTGCGAGCGCGCAAAGGTCCTCGCCCGCTGGAGCCTAGACACGAGACAACGTCATGATATGGTCAGTTCATAAGGTGAGGGCGGCTGCTCAACTCAACAGGGCAGCCCAACAGACAGTCCGTACCTGAGCTCCTCCTCCCGCCGTCTCATCTCCTTCAGCTCTTCCTGGATCTTGTCCTCGGCCGAGGTGTAGCCCCGCCGTACCGGCGCGGGCGCAGGCTCCTGGAACAGCACAGATTACAGTGAGCCCGTTGTTGCCTCCGCTAACAACCTCAGCCCGAGCTAGGCCGCGACACGCACCTCTCTCTCCGGCTCTCTGTTGACGTCCACCAGCGCCGACATCTTGGCCGTGGACGAGGCCGACAACGGCACCTGGGCGGGCGACAGCGGCACCGCGGGGGACATGGGGGAGAGCGGCGAGGTAGGCGACAGGGGTAGGACGGGTGGGAGCGACACGCTGCCCGACCCGGATGAAGGGCCGTTGCTCACCAAGCCGACCGGGTTCACCTGCAACACGAGAGAGTCAGCAGTGCGCCCAGAGCGCCCGCGAGGTAGGCCACGGCCGAGCAGCCGCGCACCCGCGTCGCGCGGGTCTGCCTACCTTGCCCCTGGATGCGAGGAACCTCTGCATGACTCCCTTCTGACTGGGGTGGGGCGCGTAGCGCCGTGGCGTCACCAGGGTGAGCGACGCCAGGCTGGGCAGCGTCGGGGAGCCCGCGGGCGCCATGGAGGACACGGAGCGTCCCAGGGGCGCCCTGGAGGGCGGCGCCGACGAGACGAGGCCCTGGGGCGCGGTGGACCCGAGTCGCCGCAGTGGCGGCCTCGCCACGGGGGTCTGCGTCGCGGGGGCCGGCGTCTGCTCGCTCGACAGGATGGCCAGGTGAGACGTGGACACGGCCTTCTTCAGCTTGACACGGCCCGGGAACTCGGGCGTGCTGAAGCGCTGCGGCCCCTGCGGGAAGAGAGAAAGGAGTCAGTAACAGAGGCACCAGCCAGTGAGGTGCGGGAGGACTTCGGCGTCCGGACGACCCACCTCCTTCAAGTGCCTATGCTCCTGTTCGCGCTCGTTGGCACGGGAGATCTCCTGCTGAATGCGGTTCGTGGCGTTGCGCACGGACTCCTTGTTCTCCGCCACCTCGACGTTGTTGTTGTTGCTGTTGTTGTTGGCGGTAGTGGTAGTCTGGTTCTTGCCGATGGTGTTGTTGTTGATGATGGTCTGGTCCGCGGCCGTTGGGGTGCTGATGCCGAGGCGCAGCGCCTTCTCCCGGGCCAGCTCCGCTTCTCGCTCGCGCGTCAGCCGGATCTCCTTTTCGATCGGAGTCTCGTTGGTCGGCCTGAGTGCCAAACACACACACACACAGTCACACAGTGAGCAACAGTCGTACCTCAGCGCAGAGCAGCTCCAGTCCGCCGCCAAGCCAACCTACTCACCTGAAAGCGGGCGCGTCCTGGTCCTCGGGCTCTGCCAGGGGCTTAACGGTCACGCGGCGCCGCCCGGGGCCGGCGATGAAGGCCGACGAGCCCGAGCCGGAGCCCGAGCCAGAGGAGTGGCCCGAGCTCGTGGAGTCCATGGACTGGGTGCGCTGGTGGTGGTGGTGGGGCAGTCCGTGGGGCAGGCCGGGGGGCAGCGCGCCAACCTCGGGGCTCATCACTCGGCTGCAAGGAGAAGAAAGTCGTGTGATGAAACGCCTCGGTAGCGGAGGGCGCACCTCCAGGTGTCTACCTCCTCCCGACACCCGCCGCTCGGGCCTCCCTCCCGACTGCCCGGCGCGCCCTCGCCTCTGGCCTCGCCCACCAACCCCCATCAGATGGCAACGTGTGCTTATCGCTTATCGGGGCGGATGGATAATGGGCGCCAGGCGCCACTATCGGAGGCCGGTGCCTGCGAAAATAAACACCCACCGCCTTTATTGGTGCCACCCGGTCCGGCCCGGCGCCCGGTGACGACGCTACTGTCGCACAAAATCACCTCAATTTGTCGGGTAAGGGTGAGGCTGGGGCGGCGTCGTCCACAGAGGGGGCGGTCGACTCGTCCTCAGACAGAGTGGTTGAGTCGTCCACTGAAGGACCGGTTGACTTGTCCACAGAAGGGGCGATTGATTCGTCGACAGAAGGGGCGATTGATTCGTCCACGGAAGGGGTGATTGATTCGTCCACGGAAGGGGCGGTTGATTCGTCCACGGAAGGTGGGATTGACTCGTCCACAGAGGGGTCGTTTGATTCGTCCACAGACTCGTCAACTGATGACGGAGGCGTCGTATCCTCCATTGCAACCGTCTCCAACGCGGAGGGCGCTTCGTCCGCGGCGGCGGCTGGTGGCGGGGGCGGTGGGGACACCATCCTCTTTCGCGGCACGGGGGCGGGGAAAGCTCCCTCCTCGGCGTCGACGCTGGGCGAGGGCAGGGGCGAGGCCACCGCCGCTCGTGGTGCGACGGCGGGGGCGCTGGAGCCGGTCATGTTGGCGGGCAGAGGGTCAGTCTCGTCGGGGAATTGCAGAGGGCGGACGCGGACGCGCGGGCGATAGGCGGTGTGTTGAGACGCACTGGCACTGACTGCCTGGCACAGACTAGCGCCGCCTCGAGTACGTGCTCGTCCCTATCCGAGGACCTAATCAGCTGACTGGCAACGTCTGAACTCGACAGGACAAAAAAGCTTTTGCCAAATTAGTTCTAGCTGTATTACAGTGAAATGTCAACTATGGCGAAATATCTCTCCCCATTTACACAGCTGACATGTTTAACGCACCATTGAACAGCAACTTATCTTAGTTCCAGTTTAGATTTTATCAAAATCTATCGACTAACAAACATGAGTTTTGTATTTGAAGTTAAGTAATCTACTGACCGAGGAAAATCCTACAGGCACGATAGGCACACCTGGTGAGGAACGAAAAACTATTCACAAGGACCACGGCTCTCTGAATCACACATTTTGACGTATGTGTATTGTTCGGTGATCGCAAATTGAAATGTAATAACTCAAATGTTGACGGTGTATCGAGTGTATCCTGCTTTGACGCGAACGAAAATGTGCCCGTTCACTTCGAAAAGGATTATCGCTTATCCAACGAGATAGAGTCGTATTGATTGAAGTGGAGGGGCCCGGCCCCACCCTACGGTGACATTAAGGTCAAATAAATGGTACAACTTGCGCAAAATTTCAAGAGCAAGTTGATCGAAACAGTACGAAGCCCAGGTCTACGTGTGGAAGGGTTTCTAAGAGTCCAATATCAGCGATTGAAGGGCCACTTTGACCAAGCCCACCTGCGGGCTGATCCCACCGCCGTCCCGTCTCGCCGCCCGAGAGGCGCGGTCGCCCCGTGGGCTGCCTATCCCCGAGGCGCTCACCTGCTGCTGCCGTCGATGCTGTGCTCCTTCTCCTCGCTGCCGTACTCGGAGCAGTTACCCTCGTCCGTCGTGGAGGTCGGGATGCTGACGAAGCCGTCGTCGCGGAGCAGGTCCAGGGCCGCCTCGCGCTCGCGGGCCACCTGCTCCTCCCGCTCGCGCTGCAGCCGGATGTCGCGCTCCACGTGGCTCTCCCGCTCCAGGCGGCGGCACGCCTTGGCCACCGTCTCGACCACCTTGGGGCCCAGGCCGTCGTCGTCGAGCGGCTCGCCGGGTGACACGGTGGAGCGCGCGTCGAAGTACTCCTGCTCCGAGACCTCGCTGCCGGCCTGCTCCAGCGATGGCATGTCCCCGCGGCTCTGGGGCGCCACGGCGGCCACCTGCGGGGCCGGCGCCACCGCCTGCTGCTGCTGCTGCGTTGAGGTCGCCGTCGGCGTGGGCGCCGCGGGCGGGGAGCCCGGCGCGGCGGCAGCCATCATGAGCTGCTCCCAGTAGCTCTTGGTCTTCTGCTTGTTGAGCAGGATCGAGTCGTACACCACCTCGCCTGTGGACAGGAAACAAGAAAAAACACATTTAGTATTTTGGCCGTGTACTCGAGCTCAGCTTCCCCTGCAGAGACCACAGCCAGCGAGGCGAGGAGTGTGCAGACCACAGGCGGCCTGCGCTGGCCGCGCTAGGCTAGTGTTTCCCCGTGAAAACTCACATCTCGATCCGAGAGCGGGGCGGGGCGGGGCGGCCGCAATCAGACAGCTCGCCGTTACTTTTCTACATACTGCAGGCTGCGGGCGCAGCGCCGAGGACTTGGCAAGGCGCTGGCCGGACAGCACGGCCCCTTCTGCAAGAGATGCAGGCGGCAACGGCAGGACAGTGGAGAGGACGTCGTAGATAACACGGCGTAGAACGCACCCCGCACCCGCGACGGCTCGAATGTCACGCGACAGGAAATTGCGACCATACCGGCGAGGTTCGGGACGAGACGCAGCACGCAGCCCGCGCACTCGCTCCTCCCCGCCCGCCGATCTCGTCGGCTTTATTTTTATTATTTTCCCCTCTCGCACATCCTCCTGGAATGGACGTCCTCTCTGGCGATACCATCGGGAGAGATGGCCGGTCGGCCGGTCTGGTCGGCGGGCCGGCGGCCGCGGTGTGTCCGAAAGCGAGAGTGAGCGCGGGGAGGGGGCCGGGCCGGGCAGGGCCGGGAGAAGGGAAGGGAAGGGCCGGCCGCGGGACCAAGGCGCTGCAGCTGCCCGCCCCGCCCGTCCATCCAGAGGATTGCCTGCCTCCATCGCTGCTCCGACACTTTCCACGCGAGGACCAAACCGGATCGGGCCGCGGCGGACTGGCGCGGCGTGCCCCCAGCGCAGGCTCCGCGGGCCAGCCTGCTGCACACCGAGGCCTGCTCCGAGGCACACTACACTCGGGCCAGAGCACTCCGGTGCATCATGTAGAACCGGCCGCGGATAGCGCCGCCGTGCCAAATAGAGCCATGAAAGTCTTCCCCAGCCGAAGCACTCCTGCCGGAGCGTGCTGGACGAGATCCAGCTCCAGCGACAAATACAGAAACACACAACACACAAACCTTATTGGACCTCCTCC